AACGCTTCGTATGAAGCCACAACATGATGCTTAAGCTGTACTGATCACTTAGTCACACAGATCACTTCTTTCACAACAGTATTTACGTTGATGGTTCTGTTCACAAGTCCATGGTGCAGCTGGTAGTGCTGCTGTTGTCATACAGTGATGGCTCTCTATATAAGAAATTGGCGCACGCCATTCAATAAACTGGGCCCTCTACCCTTCAAACAGGTAACTGGTTTGCCCATTACTCCTTGCCCACTCAAATGGCATCCAGGTTCTAAAGGGTGACTCTTTTAATTGTAACTGATTCTCTGTCACCATACACTGCTCTCAACTCATTAAAGTATAAATTGTGGCATGCTTTGTGTCAGAAGCCAGAATAGGTATGGGTAAAATTTGTGGACAGTGGAGTCAGAGTGCAATGCTGTGGATTCCATCTCACATTGGTCTTCAGATGAGATTATAGAATGATTTAAAATGGCTAATGGCGGTATGCCTTTCAAAGCGGCGGGTAGATTACATCCTGGGTTGTCAGTTAGCAGGTGTGCATCATATAATACGAAAGAAGAATTTTATTGACCTTCAAGACCTTAGGGAGATTGACCCACAAGTCAGTCTATTCTATCATCATTCCATCATGCAGTGGGAGGAGCCACATGCTATGGTGCATCCAACAAGATAAGCAGACTCTTGGATGTCATACCGCCGGACCTCTCTCTCCGGCTGGGTTATACAAGTATCTATGGCAGGTTAAATCACAACACCAGATGTAGACCCAAAGAAATGTAAACTTTGCCTGATGGACTATTGTCACACCCTGCGTCTATGTACTGGAGTGTGATCAAATTAATGAATTTAGAAACAACTCACTCAGAAATGTTCAAGAAATGGCAAAGTATTTTATCCACAGTGGTATATTACAGACCATTCTGGAGAAATACCCTGACTTTGCTAGCCTGTGTGTGTGTGGTTGTGGGGTGTGGGTGTGTGGTGTGTACTCACCTAGTTGTACTCACCTAGTTGAGGTTGCGGGGGTCGAGTCCGAGCTCCTGGCCCCGCCTCTTCACTGATCGCTACTAGGTCACTCTCCCTGAGCCGTGAGCTTTATCATACCTCTGCTTAAAGCTATGTATGGATCCTGCCTCCACTACATCGCTTCCCAAACTATTCCACTTACTGACTACTCTGTGCTGAAGAAATACTTCCTAACATCCCTGTGATTCATCTGTGTCTTCAGCTTCCAACTGTGTCCCCTTGTTACTGTGTCCAATCTCTGGAACATCCTGTCTTTGTCCACCTTGTCAATTCCTCTCAGTATTTTGTATGTCGTTATCATGTCCCCCCTATCTCTCCTGTCCTCCAGTGTCGTCAGGTTGATTTCCCTTAACCTCTCCTCGTAGGACATACCTCTTAGCTCTGGGACTAGTCGTGTGTGTGTGTGTGTGTGTGTGTGTGTGTGTGTGTGTGTGTGTGTGTGTGTGTGTGTGTGTGTGTGTGTGTGTGTGTGTGTGTGTGTGTGTGTGTGTGTGTGTGTGTGTGTGTGTGTGTGTGTGCGCGCGCGTGCATATATTTGTACGCTCGTGTGCACATATCTGTGCGTGCGCCCTCGTGTGTATGTGCACGTGCACGCTAGTGTGGGTGTATGACCCACTTAATATTTGTATTTATAACTCATTACAATTGTGACCAGGTGTGGACGTACCAGTGGTTCATTACTTTATAATTTATTCATGACTGTAACCATGTAAGGAGTGAGGCTGATTCATTACCTTTGTAACTTGCCATGATTGTGACCAGATCTACCAGGAGTTCATTACCTTTGTAACTAGTTCAGCTATCATAACTTTGGGATCCAGTCCCTGGACCCATTATGTACCTTTGTAATCTTATGACTACCACCCACAGGATGGGTATGAGGTGCATAATAAAGATATTAAACTAAATGGAGGGGCTTGGATGGTTGTTTAATTATGTATTTGGAGCTACTCTCAGTTTCCTTGGATCAAACCTGATTACCTTCTACTCTCATGCACTGTATGACCCCCTACAGGTTTAGCACTTCCCCTTGATATAATAATAATAGTAATAATAATGGGATATAGGACAAGGTTAAGTGAGCACTCGTCAATAACCTCTAAATATTTGAAATGACGTGCTTATAGTTCCGGTAAACTATGAACGTGAGTATGTGTATATATGTATGTGCACATGCATAGACACACACACACAGACACATACACAGAAACACACACAGAAACACACACAGAAACACACACAGAAACACACACAGAAACACACACAGAAACACACTGAACAACACACAGACAGACAGACACACAGACAACAGCACACAGACAGACAGACACACAGACAGACACACACAGACAGACAGACACAGACACACACAGACAGACAGACACAACAGACACACACAGATACACACACATACACACAAACAGGCCTAGTGTCTAATCGACATGTGCCTAGGACAAAATGGTAACTAACACACACACACACACACACACACACACACACACACACACACACACACACACACACACCACACACACACACACACACTACATGTATGTAAATCCTTATATTTGGTATATACTACTACTTACTACTACAAATAATACAAGTTAGTACCATAAGGAAGTCATTCTCTATCACATTCATATAAAGACTATATGATGGCCACTTTCTATCAGCCTGGCCTATCATGGAAAGTTTAAAGAGCACAAAAAATGGTATGGTCAATTTGGTGTGAGAGAATATGTTTTCATCACTGCCAAGTGATCACTGAGTGACACGGCTAGCCACAAACGCCAATACACTCAACACTCACGTGCCACATACTACCATTTAACCCCAACATTTTAATTTAACATAGTACACCCAGCGCTATTATGCCATCATGTAAGAATTATGTAGTGAGAACACGTGCAGCGCACTTCACACTTTTTATGTAGAAATTACATGGTGGGAACATAAGCAGTGTGTTGATTTGCTATTCTAAAGTTACATAGTGGGAACATATGCATTGTGCAGCTACATTATTCTGAGTTACAAGGAGGGTACAAGCAGTAAGCTGTTAAGTTACTCCATGAACTACATGGTGGAAACAAGCAGTGTACTGTTAAATTATTTCATGAATTACAAGGAGGAAAAGTCATGTGCTCTTAAACTACTCCAAGAGTTAAATACATGATAAAAATACATAAAGTCCCTTCCCACAAAAGTCACCGAGTATGAAGCTAGCCATGTTTCCCAGTCATATTCCATCATACCTACCCACTCAATATTTAATACCACAAAATACATTCATGTTTAGGAGTGGCAACTAAATTATTGACGTTAGCAGTGCTAGTGTAGACACACTGCTTACCATGGATACTGAGACAAGGAGAATGTGGTGCTCATACCTTCAAGCTCTTAAAAAAATCTATGGCACAGAAAATTGGGGTTTCAGTCTATCTTGTGAATTATTTCTTTAATGATAGCTACTGTCTTCTAAATAATTCTTTTCTTACACTTACTGTAGTCTCCTCTCTCTTACCCTCATTACATATCTTTCAATATCTATACATTCTCATTGATTCTATTCAATTCTCTCTCTTCCATTCTCAATCTCTTATTCTCATATTCTCTCTTATTTTCTCATTATCTCTCTCCAACAATTTCTCTCTCCCTCCCCCTTTCTCCCCCTTATCTCTCCCCTTCCTCTTCCTCTCCCCCTTTTTCTCCCATTCATTCTTGCCCATTCTCTCTCTCCCCCCATTCAAGAATTTACACAAAACAAACCAATATAAAGTAACCACACTGGCCCCAAAGATTATATTAATGACACATCTACAGTAGCTTACAAGAAATAAGTAAGCATTTAGCAACATATTTTTAGCTTATCCAAACAAATTAGATAATCATTTCCCAAACAAACATAAAAAAACAATAACTGATGAGAAACCCTATGTATCAAATTCCTAGCCAAAAATATCCTCATCCACAAGGGAAGCAGCAATGACCAGGACATGAAGCCACTCATGGCAAAAGTCTTCCTTTTAATAAATGTTCTGAACTGTACACAAGTGTCCTTAGAACTCAGTCTCCTTTGGTATCACCACATTATTTACTAGCCTTGTTGACTGCCAGATCAACCAGGCTGTTGCTGCTAGTGGCTTGCTGGCCTACATAGCTATCATAGTTGGCTGATGACACCGGCTGAGGTGCCGAGTCACACGTCACTCCAAGAATATCAACTTCAAAAGCTGGCTCTATGACTCTTCCATTAATTTTCACTACAGTTGCTTTAGCAACATCATGTTGAAAAAGACATCACCACTTTGTTTTCTCAGAAACAAGTATAACCTGTCATCATTTTTATCAGGTTGATATACAGTTTAAAGGATTGATGTAATTACCTATTTTTACCTACGGGGGCAAAGCAATGCTCATGGTGTCCCGTCTTTAATAATTTGTTCATTATGTAATTTACCTAAATTTTAATGGTTGAGGACTTACTACATCCTCTTGTAATTCACTCAATTGATCTACCTCTATTTGTTAAGAAAAATGTTCCAATGAGCAGCTAACATTTCCTCTCTTGCTTAAGTAAATGTTAGAGTGCAGTCATCTGCATAGGCATGAGTTGAGGTACATCAATGAAACGGCACCAATTAAGCAGTTTACAGACTGCACTATTAAGATCCTGAAGCAAGAAGCCCTGTTTTCACCTATTCACCTAACATATAACAAGGAGCTAATTGGAGTTTGTGAGTTGCATTTTAGAGCTGTCAGAGAAGTGGCCACTTAAGTCTCTCTAGCAGTTTGAATAACTTGAACTGGTGGAGTCATCTCCCATTATTTGCTCCATTAGTACAGTTCACTAGAAGTTTTGTCATGTAGCTAAATATCAAGAAAGAAAATGTTGGAAACATACACAAAGTAATTTACAGAGTAAGAGTTAAAGGTGTAATGAGATGAGGTTACCCATGCACCACTGCTGTAATACTTACCAGATGACCTTAGAGCAGTAGAAGCACATATGTTTGAAGGGCGGCCAGAAAAATTTAATGTTGATGCTCCTATCTTTGACTGGCAAGTTACTCTTGCTAGAATTCCGATCTCTAGTCCATTCACTGATACATTAGCCATAGAAGCTGATCTGCAAAAAATTAAAAAATATTAACTACAAATAAAATAATTTACATCAAGAATTTTGATGTACAGCAAAGCCAAAGGTTATATACAAGTTAACTTTGTTAAGTCAATTATAGGCTATTAGTCACATGATTTGCAACAAACTAGTAGCTTACCTACGAAGTGTACCAGTAAACAGTGGGTCGAGCAACTCGCCTTGCAGGTGGTCGCATCTCTGGTGCTGAATCTTCAGGTTCTGTTCAGAAACAGAACTAATTTAAGAAATATACAGTACTCAGATCATCACTGAGGAGGCCAGATATTGGACAATGATCCCTGTTATCAACTGGTAAGTAGACACAGTACAGTACTGTATTCCAAGATCTGGATATGTCTCAAAGCAAGAATTTGCTTTAAAGCAGTACAGCTAATTGGCTGGAAATACATACCTTGATCTAGACTAAGCTACTTTCATGTATTTAATCTGCAAATTAGCATAAAATAACATGGTCTATCCCTTCATATATAGACATACTAATCACATAACACAGACCTCTTAATGGTTCAGGAAACACTGACCCCGCAGTTGTCTAAGACATCACTTCTTAGACTGGAAATAGCTTACTGTCAAGTCAACACTGGATGGTCAGCTGAAAGCTTAATTTTTCATGCAGGATCTACTATATGCCTACAAATAACTTAATCCTCCCTCCCTTCCTCCTTACCTCAAAATAAACTGACCCAATTCCAAATACCTCGTAGAACTGGCAGGAGGGAAAAGGGAGGTAACTTGCCCTGATTTCAACTTGCATTCATGTACCCATCTATTGGTTCAATGTTTGTGGCAAAACCCAAATCAGGCCAGAGATACAGCAGTGTTAGGTTTTAACAATGAGGTGAGCTACCTGCCTGGCTAGCTACTATTTAGAGTAGACTTGTGCCAAGACTTCATTTCATTTTTTAAAAAATAGGGGAAAAATAAATATTTTTGTGTTGTGTGTTATTTCAAAACTTCTCCCCCATTTCAACACTAATTTAACGACTAATCGTGCCAAGCAGACACATCCACTGGGAGAAAGAAATCCCTGGTGGTCCTAAGCCAAGGAAGAAGACCCAAAAATTCTGGACATTTAATTGGATATTTTATGGGGATCTGACAAAAAAAGAAAAAAAAAAAAATAGTGAAATCATCATAGACAAAGGCCTATCTTCTTCTGCAGCTTGCACTGTCTGTCTGCAAGGAGCTAAGTGAAACTTGTGAAGTATATATGTAAAGCTGCTAAGAAATTATTCTGAGTCTATAGTCATTATTGTACCATATGAAAAAGTTTTTTATGCTTTTTCTGCTCATTTTGGATCAAATATCAAAGTCAATTGCCAGAATCACAGCCAACCATTAACTCCAGCATTCACTCCATGACTATCAGTGCCAAGTGGCAAGTACTGTGCTTTAAAATTATTTTTCCTGTATTCTAGTTACCTTTGAAGAGTTTGAAGAGTTTCGAGAGTTTCACTACTCTCGGAGCCCGGCTGTATTGTATGCTGTATTGTAATAACTCTTAATTCAACAAACATACACTGCCTAGTACAGAAAATATATTTATTTAAAGTGGGATTAGAAACTAAGATTTTCTAATCCCACCACTGATATAAGATAAGCCTGCACTGCAACAGTAAATACAATACAATTCCATGACCACTTCATGCATACCATTGGAGGTGGATGAACTAAGCCTGGCTCTCTTTGCCGGCGATGAAATTCCACTACCACTGCCTTGTCGCTTCAGGGGTGATCCTGGAGCTTTCAGCTTCGAGCCTTGAGGCAACCTAAGACGGCTAACGGTGGTTGGAAGTTTTGACATTGTGTAGGTGCTGAAATCATGGATAAGGAAACTGTTACCATAAAGTTTATTAACAGAAACAACTTTTTACAGTTCTTTAAATATTTACATTTTATTAGTCCGAGTGCTAATCGTGATTAAAGTACACATTTGTAACAAGATTATTGTTATACTCATATGAAGTGCTGCTACTCTCACAGACATCTTCAAACCCTTGCATCAAGAGCCCTTCACTCCATTTAAGGTGCTTTGATACCAGAGAAGGGCTCTTGATCTGTGGAATTGGAGCTATCCTCCTCCTAGTAATGAACTTGATTGTATCCCATTCCCCAAGCACTTATGAACCCTATGGGTTTAGGACTTCCTCCTGAATGCAATAATAATATTCCACTGTGCCACGGTAAGTTTATTTAGGTGCAAATATACCTAACTACAATTATCATACATAGTTGACCATGCAAAATAATCAGTGAAAAATATAGTGAAATTCCAAGCACTTTTGTGATTTCCCACATTATCAAGGAATAGTATTACTTTTACTATTGATTGATAATGTGAAAAATTACAAAAACACCTGGAATTTCACTATTAATTTTCATTGTGATTATTTTGATTATTGTGATATCACCTGTTTACTGTGATTTTTATTGCACACTTTAACAAGTGTAAATTACCTAGGATAACCCCCCAAAAAAGTTCTTGCACAACAAAGTCAAAGTGACTTCATTTCCTCTGGGATCCTCAAAAGGATTCCTTTCCTTCTCTGATACTCAGACTATATTATATTCATAGGAAAGTGCTAAACCTATCATGGTCATAGAGATCCTGGGTAACGGGAGATAACAAGGCCTCGCTTGCCATGGATTCAAAACCCTCGTGTTCCGTGGTTTACTCTGTAGATATTTTGCCAACCAGTGGCTTTATCGATACAATACACACACATGAACTTAAGAATAAAGACGAGGTTATCAGTACCTCAGCTTTGAAAAAGTATTCTTATATTCTCATTTCGTGGTGAGTAAATAAGCTTATTTAAGCACAGGTACATATAGTTACAATTATAACAGTGTAAATTATCTAGGATAACCCAAAAAATCTAGTGACTTATTCCTATTGGGGTCCTTACTTATTTCCATTGGGGTTCATAGATTTTGGTTTAAAAAGTTACACACTTACTTAGAAACCGTTTCGGTCCTGGGACCTCGATCTCTTTTAAAACGATCAAGGTCCCAGGACCAAAATGTTTTCTAATAAACATGTCGTAATGTTTGTTCACGTGTCTTTAGACCACTATGTTGGTATCAATCACCAAGGTTTATAATGCTGATCATTTTGAAAAAATGTAAATCAACATCTGAGTTGCATCAAGTAGGTAGGTTTACTTTGGTACAGGATTATTATTATAATCAAGGGGGAAGCGCTAAACCCAGGAGGATTATACAGCGCCTGGGTGGGGGGATGTGGAAGGCATTCAGGCTTAATTCGGGGAACTGGAGCACAGATCCAATTCCCTAAATCAAGAGCCCCTTACAACATCAAGGAACCTTCCTTGAGGGGTTTGGTACAGGAACACATAAGTACAATTATCTTACACAGTGACAAGTATAAATTACCCGCCAGGATAACACAAAATAATCAGTGATTTATTTCCATTAGGATCCTATTTTATTATTTAAAGCCTAGCTGTTAAGATACAGTGGCATTCTGTCAATTATAACCTCCGGGAAGTGCAGCCAAAATTCCTCGCACCATCATTACATTACTACAAGTTAGGGGAGAGCCATAAACCCGTATGGCTTCACACAATCCCTGGGAGAATGGGAGGCACTGAGGTTCAGGTCCAATCCCTTGGATCAAGAGCCCCTCGGCGCTATCAGAGACCCCCCTTCCCTTAGAGGGTTTATTTTTTGGTTTTCTTAAAAAGCCACCAGGCACGGTGGCCTGGTGGCTAAAGCTCCCGCAGACAGTCGTCAGTGGTCATCGTCACGTGAGGTCACAGTCC